CTCTATTTACCACAGGTGTCCCCTGCTATTTGTGGTCACATGATCCATTATGTGCTCCCTGAACTTAGTCTTCTCAGTTTTAAAGGACCGCACGTAGCTTATTTCTAGTCAATTTCAAAATAGCTTATTTCAAAATTTGGCGCTCTCTACACAGTACTTATTTAAAAATAAATCACTCTTCCAAAACACCACTTATTACACATGGAATGAGGTTTATAGGGACGTCAGAATAGCGAGTTTGTTATATTTTGAAATAACGGGTGTGCTCAAAAGATGCAGAATAGCTATTTCAGGATTCCTCCGCTATCCCAAAATAGCGCTGCAGTATAGACGTAGCCTTAGAAGCATAGTTCATGATGAACTCCCTCTGGCTGGAAACATGGCAGCCCTAAACAGATAGGTGCTTAAGTATGGGATAGCAGAGCATTGGGAAAGTCCGTGCCCAGAGCGGGTGTCTGGAGCCTACGCCAGTACAAAGAGAAAGGAAAATGGGGATGTACTTAGGCTTGCTAGTGCTTGGCTAGAATATGTAGCTTTGAAAAAAGTTACAGAGGAACTGAACTGAATGTATTCAGACTGCGAACTGCTTTTCATAGGCTGTGGAAAATGTGCAGAACAAGCTGGTGGGTTACAGTGGCTTTTTAGCCAAAAAGAAAAGGGGGGGGAAGGGAAGGGAGAATGTGGTCTAGAGAAAGCCCAAGGATTATTACTGCCTGCCCGGTAACAAAATCACTTCATCTAGAAAAGACTTTGCAATGATAAGGCTGAACCAGCGCTTTTCTTCATCACAAGAATGAAAACGGAACGCCTGCTCATTTTCTTTTGTGCCCTTGCTGTAGCTGCTATGGCAGACGAAGAGTATCTAGGCCAGACTCAGCAGCTGGTGAGGTGGGAGAGCATGAGATCAGTGTAGCAGAAAACTAGAGAGAGCATCAAGAAACAAAAAAGAACAAAGGGTGTGATACTAAATCTCCCCAGCAGACTGTTAGAGAAAGACACATTGTGAGTGCA